TGATTTATTAGTTATTATGTAGGATACTTATCTAATCTAAACTTAACTAAACTAAAAGAATAGACAAAAGACTTATTTACATATAAACGACAAAACAAGTCAAAATGTTTGATATTGTATTTTATCATATACAGGGTGTCCCATAACTAATGTTACACAGTGAAACTTCAGATTGCTTGGATAAAAATATTACAATTTGACCAAACTTATCTTAATTTAAAAGTTGATAGTAACCAAGATACAGGGTATTTCAGTGAAAATTTAATTTTTGGTTTTTCTAATTACCTTTCTTCGTTAGAAAATAAGTTATATAACTTATTTTCGTGTCGTGTCGTGTCGTGGTATTTTTAACTCAACTTTAAAAAAACTAGAAAGCTAACAAATCACATGACAGTTTGATAGAAATGAACCCTACTTTGAAAAAATGATGTTTGCAAAAAAAAATTTAAGTGGAAGCAGTAAAATTATAAATGCAAAAATTTCAAAAACATCAATCCTCAAATCGAATCGACATTATACCTTTTTTGTGTAAAAATGGTGAGAAAATTGATATTTTTAACAAAAACATAAATAAGCCAAGGCGCGAAAAAGTTACACTTGTTTTTATGAATCCAGAGTGCCGCAGAGAGCACCCTCTACAATCTACATCAAAATTATTAAAAAATTCAAATTTATCGACCCAAAAAACCCTTATCACAAAATTGGATGGAAAAATATTGATTGAAAAATTAGTTAATTTGGTTACTAACAACTTTTAACATTGTACATTAAAAAACTATTTTTATCTTATACACTATTATAAAGTTTTTCTTTTGCAAATTTTTTATTTCTACTATTTGTAAATCAAATACCATTAAATACCGTTTCTCGTTTTTACCGAAAAAATATATACGTACATAACTAATGCATTTTATAATTTTAAATACAAATATTGGTTTTCTGGAAAAACAATATTACCCACGTAAGTTTAAAAAACGCTTTAAACCGATAATGAAATATCCTTAACGGTACAAATAAAAGAAGAAGAGGTAACACAATAACCTACAAACAACTTTAACTTGGTGAGTCATTTGTATCTTCGTAGGTCAGTTTACCATTAAAAATAATACATTTAAATTGCTCGGTGTCTAAAAAAAATTAACACACAAACTTACATACACGGAAAATAATTGTATTTGTTTTCATAGTCTGAATGTTTATTGAATACATTTTAATGCCATGTTTAAATAAATTATTATTGTTTTTAGAAAGTTGTTTTTCACTAGTTTAGTTTGTTTTTTAAATATATCCATAAAGGTTTGATAACTTTTGTTTTTCTCTATGGACCAAATTCTGGACATTGTCAAAATCCGTACGAGCGGAAGCAGAAAAGAATAAAAAATTGATTTTTAATGGTTTTTAAAGGGAAATAGTTCAAAATTGAATAGCAAAGGCCTAAAATAAAGATTAAGAGCTTTGTAATAACCCAAAATTTTTGTTTTTTGACCGGTTACAAGATAAGACCTAAAGGTGGTCCATGAGATTGTACCGAAACGTCGTCAGACATACGGTTCCTTTAAGAACCAAAAACCGACAACACGGAGCATATATACATAATATATTTTTAATTATTGTAAAATTTAAAACATAGAATATTATTAATTAATGGTAATCATAAAAAAAATAAACATACTCATATCCAATTATGGAATAATTCAAATGGAGACTAGTACCTAATAATCAAAGCTATAATTCTAACGATTATGCACCTGTAACGTTCAGGACTAGTAAAGATAATATAATCAGACAGACAGTTTAATAACTGTGAAAGAAATAACCTGTCTGTATATTTTGTTATATGGACATTTAATTGGAATCCAGAATCAAGGCTACTGAATTATTTCATACTCCAGTAAGTAACATTAAAGTTAAAGACCATGAAGTAGGAATTAAAAACATATGCATGTAATAAATGCAGTAAAACGTTCATTATGAAGTCTTAATATTAAAAGAATAAAAACTATGTTAACTTTGTAAAAATATTTTTTTTGCAGTCCCACCATTAAAACGCAATGGGCATACTCGTTTCCATGACACTAAGCGACCTAATTACACATTGTGGCTTTATGACGTTTTAGACACAGGCTGAAGTTAGTTTTAAGTTAGTTGACAGTTGACAAATGTCATACAATCGTTAAAATAAGGTGCCTTTCTTGTAAAATAATAATAAATGTAAAAATTATTTTATTATCTCAATACAAAAGTATTAAATAAACTGCGCACCACTCAATGTGTCGCTACCCAAAAGTTCGTCCTTTTTTGTTTCTTGAACGATTTTATTTTGGTCTGTGATTTCTGCTAGCCCCATCCTCTGGCTATTCATGCTATAGATATGAAGCTCACGGTTTTTCAAGTAAATTTCGTACAGGGTGATATGTAAAACGGTCAAAAATTTCAATATCTTCATCCAAGCCCCGTTTGTAAAAAAATAATTTTTTTCTCGTTTTTACTTTTAATAATGAAGTATTTTGTCTTACCTTGAAAAGGTTTTCAATTATTTCGTATTGGAATCTTAGCAAAGAAAATATGATTTTTTTTAAAGAGTACATTTAAGGCTTTTTGGTAGGCAATATACACTAAGAGAAATATCATGTCATGAAAAGCATATGAAATTATATTACTTTAAATAATCGGGTTAATTTGATTCAAATAGAAAAATTTGTAGTTTTATATTCATTTACCAACAGTTTTACAATGTTTTTAAACACTTTTAAAGTGTACCCTCTTTAAAATATATATATAAAAAGAAATCTATTTATTTCATTGCCTTTCTCAACGTGGTTTCAAAAAGATATGTATTATACAATTGTTATACACCTATTAATTTAATGGGACACACCAATGACGCCAAAACATATTTAAATCCCTTTGAATTATTATCGTTTTGAATGATTCTACAACATTTTCTCTCTCAGTGTATTCAGTCTTTTTAAGAACAAGATGGTGAAAGATTGTTCCTTGAATAATTCTGAACAAGCGACAAGCAACAATCTTCCATTATTTTCAGAGGGGCCTAAGCAAAAAGACAACTTTTTTAAAATGACATTTTGGTGAAAATTTGCGAAAACCAATCCTGAAAAGATATTTACGTTCGTGACATGTTTTCTTTATAATTTTGACCTCCTGCTTGTGATTCAGTTGTTAAATTTAAGTTTCAGATAAAACCAAAATAACTAAGAATCAAAATTCGAAACAATTCCCGGCTGTATTCTTTTAGAAAAAAATCATATTTTCGTTGCTACGATTCCAATTCGAAAAAATTGAAAAACGATTCAAGGTAAGACATAATACTTCATTATTTCAAAGTAAATCGAGAAAAAAATTATTTTTTTACAAATGGGGCTTGGAAGAAGTTTATTGAAAATTTTCACCGTATAACATATCAGCCTGTAGGAAATTTACTTAAAGAACCTTGAGCTTCATATCTATATCATAAATTGCCAGAGGATGGGGCTAGGAGAAATCACAGACCAAAATAAAATCGTTCGAGAAACAAAAAAGTTATGTCGTTTTGAAAAAGAACGAACTTTTTGGTCGCGACACATTGAGTGGTGCGCAGTTTAGTTCTACAACGCCAATATTTGAAAAGTTCAAATGCACGTTGTATTGACCTTTTCATTTCGACGGCAGTAAACTAGATTTAACTGATTAACCATTAAAAATTTCGGGTGGAGACTCCATCTTGGAGTGCTCATACAACATTATCTTCACTTTCATTGTGAAAAACTGCTTCTATATCGAATTTAACCGTTTATAGGTCCATTTTTAAGGGATACATTTCGATTTACACATAAAAATTTGACTTTTTAACGGCGCGCCAGTAAACCTACTGGCGGTAATTGGTAATCTGTATTATAATACAGATTACCAAGTTACTTACTTGAGGTTAGAATAGTTACTCTATTGTTTTGTAGATGTAGCTCTATGCGAATATTTAATTTAAATAATTAGAAGATAATAATAAGTATTTGTCGTAAAAAAAGTAGGTATATAAAGTTTAAAAACTTTTTTAGACAATCATTTAATTAAACACTCGCCCGCTAGCTAGCTCGTGCCTAATTAAAATTCGTGACTAAAATGACGTTTATCAAACGTGATCCATAATATACTATTATTTGTGAAATGAATGGTTTGATTTGGGAAATTTTTACTCAATAATTATAACTTGTTATGGAATTAACGACCTTACCCATTTAATACTTAAAGGAAATAATGCAAAAGCAAATGTTTAGTCTTTAAAATTAAAAAAAATATTTGCAATATAATGTAATTATAATGATTAAACAGTTTGACGAAAAAGGTCCGTATAATTAGTTGAAATGTCTTCTTCTTAATTTGGAAATCATTACTAATTTGATGAGGCTGTGGGTATTTAATGAATTAATAAGTCACAAGTTTCTTAATATTAATCCTACGATTAACATTGCATTTCAATTGAAGATGCAAAACCTTTTTGTCCGCAGTACAATAAAAATAATGGTTTAAGATGGTTGTTAAAGAGTTTAATAAGTTGCTCCAAAGATTTGTTGTAAGTTTGACATTTATATATTTATTAATTTCTTTATCAATTTAGAAAGTGGTAAATATCACCTTATTAACTTTTATGCTGCCTACTTTTAATATTAAACATGCACTTAATAACAAACTTAATCAAGAAAGAAATACTTTATTGCAAACCGCAAGATTGAGTGCATATGAATATAATTACCATACTTTCACCGGTTAACAATGAAAATTGCAATAAGATGAAATCCAATATTCAAGAAGAAGACAATATTGGGAATTTTTTAACCGCATTATTAATATCTAATGAACTACAAAATTAAGTCTAAACTTTAACAATATAAAACGATTTAAAAAATAGGTTAACCTATATTAGGTCAGGCTACAAAAACCATTACCTATTTAGTTTATAAACATGCACTTAATTTATCTTGAGATCTTATATTCAATTGTTTCAGATGTCCGTGAGTACGGTAAGCACCGGGACAAGACAATTCCGAAGATCTCCCAGCTCGATATTATCCTCGGATTCGGATATCCGGTTCACAAGAAAAAAACTGACGTCGCAATACCGATGCGGTTGTTGTATTATAGCCACATTTTTGATGTTAATGTTGTTGGCAGCTGCTGGAGTCTACATAGCATGTAAGTAAAAATATTCATGTAGTTAAAATATTAAAAATTCTGTTCTGGTTGTATTTTTGAATAAGACTGATTCCCCGTTTGCCAGTATCATTAACAACTCTCATCTTGCAACACTTTTTACGAAATTCTAATAAATTTTATTTCAATATCTCACATAACCCAAGCTCACACTCTATTTTAGAGTTTCATATTTTCATATTCATTGTGACTATTATTTAGGCAAACTAAATATAATTCTATTCTATACATTATAATGTTAATGTTCTAATGTCGTACCAATAGCAGTGCAGTGTAATGAAGGATACATTTTTCACAATAAAAAAATCTATTTTCTAAGTGATACAATAAATGCACATAAAACATTGCATTAATTTAAAAAAAATTGGTTTGCTTTACATTAAAAAGAAAATTAAATACTGCAAATACTTACCGAGTAAATGCCGTCACGAAAGATATTCTCTGAATTTAATATTTTTGAATACGAAATGTTAGGGACAACTGTGTTTTGTTTTGGTGTTGGGGAATGTTTCTAATATTTATTTAATAACAAATAACAAGCAAATTATTAAAACGTTTAAACTCATTGAAAACTTCGTGTAGCTTAACCAAAACGCATTACAAGTTGTAATTTACAACCTATATTTACCAATAAGAAAATTAGAAATATTTTGCACTTTGTCAAAATTATTACCTCACCATAATAGATCGATTAAGTATTTATTAAATAAGCAAATCAACACAGTAGTTATTTGCCTGTTACTATTAAAGGTTTACCTGACATTTCTTCCAACGAATAGAAAGCAAACAAATTTTTATTTATGTCCAAGGAGTGTAAGAACAAGGACAGATGAATGCTTCGCTGAATAAATTGTGGCATTGTTTAGAGCAAATACTAAAGACTAATATAAAGATTTGCTTTGTGAATTTAAAAGGGATTTTATTATTAACGTTTATAAAATATGTTTTTTCTACTCCCACCTTTAAAACGCCCTTTATCGTACATGTTTCCATGACACTAAGTGGCCTTTTAAATACACATTGCCAAGTTGTGGCTTTACGCCGCTTTAGTCACGGGCTGAAGTTAGCCACAGGTTTTTAGTCACGGGATGAAGTTAGTTTTAAGTTAGTTGACAGTTGTCAAATGTCATACAATCGTTAAAATAAAGTGCCTTTCTTGTAAAATAATACTAAATGTGAAAATTATTTTATTATCTCAATACAAAAATACAAAAATATTAAATAGTTTCTCAACGCCAATATTTAAAAAGTTTATATGAACATTGTACTGACCTTTTAATTTCGCCGGCAGTAAACTATAACTTAAATTCGGGCACGGACTCCACTGTAAAGTCCTCATAAAACATTTTCTTTACTTTCGATGTGAAAAACTATAAATTTTCAAGAAATACATTACGATTTATAACCTTTATAATCTAATAATAATGTGTAGAAAAAGTATGGTAGGCACCTCGTTTATAAACTTTTCTATAAACTCATTAATTTAAGCACTCGATCGCAAGCTCGGCGTTTATCAAACTTGATACATAATATACTATTTTCTACTCCCACCTTTAAAACGCCCATTATGGTAGGTACATGTTTCCATTACACTAAATGACCTTTTAAATACACATTATCAAGTTGTGGCTTTATGGCGCTTTAGTCACGGGCTGAAGTTAGCAACAGGTTTTTAATCAAGGGCTAAAGTTAGTTTAAGTTAGCTAACAGTTGTCAAATGTCATACAATCATTAATATATAGACAACTGAAAATACTTAGTTAGTGGCGTCTATATTTATCAATGTTTAATGTTTTTTGTAAAGAACATCAGTTTGTTTGAAAAATTTTAAAAAATAAAATATTGTAATACTCGTTCATGTGATCCATAGGCTTACAGCCACTGAAAAAAGTGTTTTATATATGTGTATTAAACTGTTTAATTATTTACTCAGTAATATAAAGGCCCTAAGGTCTTGCAAGAGTTTTAAGTATAAAGTTTTGGATTTTTTGTTAGAGTCTGAACCATATTGTTTAAATGAATATTTGTTAGTTGTATAAATTTATTTCCTGTGTGACACATATTTCTTAAATGTAAATTTTATACATTTGTATTATTAATTACCTTTGCTGAAATAAAGATGATTATTATTATTATTATTATTATTATTATTATTATTATTATTATTATTATTATTATTATAAAGTGCCTTTCTTGTAAAATAAAACTAAATGTGAGAATTACTTTATTATCTCCATAAAAAGTATTAATTAATTTCTTGACGTCAATATTAAAAAATTGTGAAAAAATTTATTATATTTCGTTTGTTAGTCTATTTTTAGGGGATAAATTTTGATTTACACAAAAAAATTTGAGATTTTAACTTTGGGAGATTTCCAAGTTACAAATTCTAACAGGTATTCCAATAAATACAACTGTCACTTTTTGTACCTTTAACAATTTCCATAAAAGAATTTGTAATACTTTGTAATAATATTTTAAAATTATAGTAACAAAAAATCAAAGGTTAAATATTTTCTTAACTGTTCGCAAGGTCGCTCATCCCTAAATTAAATTCGTGGTTAAAATGGCTTTTATCAAATTTGATACATAATATACTATTTTTTATTTTCTATTTAAAATCCACCTGATTATCTATAGTAGGATAAAACTGTAAATATTAAATAGGTTATATAAATAACAGTATTGTATAGTATTTAATTAAATCCAATTAAGAAATTTATATTAATAGCGAATAATTATTTATTAATAAATAATTCATACAATAAAATTTAAAGAATGTAATTTTTATTCATTATATTACATTTTTCAGACACATTTTTCCTACCTGGTGAACCCGAAGAACAAGTATTTAGAGCTACGTTTAAAGTAATAGAAGGTGACACTTTTTCCCCGGAATTGGCAGATCCGAGCACCAAAACTTTTAAAGTTAGATCTAGAGATTATAAGGAAAGACTGAACTTACTTTTTAGAAGAAGTCCTATTCGACATGGATACATGGGAACAGAAGTACTTGCATTGGACGGGTAAACAATATTTGAATTCATAAATTTAAATCTTATAAATATTTTTGTTGTAGAACTGAAGACAAAGACTTAATAGTACACTTTAACATCCACATAGACCCCTCTTATATCGACCTGACAACAAAAGATATAGAAGACATCTTAGAGGAAGAAATAACAGTTCAGGAATCACTTTACTTCAAAAACTTGACCATAGACAGCAACAGTTTGGAAGTGAAACCAAGCAATCTTCTTTTAATGACCACAACAACTCTACCAACTACAGTGGTGTCTCAAGCTGTAACCCAAACTCCAACACCTCCAAGGAGATGCTATCCAAGGCAGCTGCCTTATTGCAATAAGTTGCCTTATAATATAACCACGTATCCGAATCTTTTGGATCACCAGGATTTGAAGGACGTCAAGGATCATGTGATTGCTTTTAGGGAACTTGTGGATGCAGAATGTTATAGGCATGCATATGAGTTTGTTTGTCAAGTTCTACAGCCACCATGTGCCAAAGGTGAGTGCTGGGACTGCAATAATGGTTTAAAAATGAGTTTGCTATCCATTTTAGGAGAGGAGGAAAATGAAATGGTCCTTCCTTGCAGAAGCTTTTGCAGAGACTTCATGGCGGGTTGTGGCAGTCGATTACCAGAAAAACTAAAATCGCAACTAGACTGCAGCAGATTTCCTGAGTACGGTGACAAGGGAACTTGTATAACCAAACCTGGTAGGATTTATATTTTAAATTCATAATAATATTAATCTTCACGCCCTATTAAACACCGTTAATATCAAGAAACTTCAATGGTAAATTACGCAAATAAAACACCTCACATCAAATTAAATAATGGTTATTATCTATATATTCTATAGAATTATAAACACAATTGTCGCTTAATTGTGGTAAATGCAAATAAGTTTATTCAGGTTTGTAAAGTATATAACATGTAATTGTTGTAGGTAAATGGTTTGTTCTGTGGGTAAATGTAGGTAAAAGATAATTAGTTATGCTAATTTTATGCTTTCATCACGTGTCTTGTTTTATTAGGTTACTAGTGCATACATAAACATACACCTGATTTATTCTACATATAAATTAATGGAATGGAATTTGGCATACAACACATGAAAAAATATTTGTTGTATGGCGAAGATTTTGTTCCATATTTAATAAGTAAATGTTAAAATTAAACTTTAAATGCAAAAAAATATTACGTTAGCTAAGGAAGTAGTATATGGGTGATTCTAGAAAAGTTGGACAACTTGATGTCATCGGTCAATAGAGTGGGTATTTTAATATTTTTTGTAAATATTTTAGTATATTACAAAAGATCCAGGTTTTTTTAACTTCTCCACCCAATTTTAATGTATTTTTTCAAAAGCACGTTTGTAGAAAAACATAATAAATATTCAAAACATCAGTACCTTGGCGTGTCACAACTCCTGAATCAAATATTTGAGTGATTTTATTTTAAAATATATTCAAATTATCTTAAATTTTTCAATTTCACTACAAACTATAAAACATTAAATAATGTATTTTTCATATTTTATCATAGATTTGAATAATAGCAATTTAAAAAAAATGATCACTTTTACCCGTCAGTTCTGTGTTCAATGTTAAAATTCAAAATTCCTGCGAAATATTAAAGTTTAAACGTCAAGTCCTCGTTTTAACTTAAGTTTTGGTAAAAAATTACCTACAGAGCCCGCCCTTTGCACGACAGTAATCTTGAAAACAATACAAGCGGCGAAGTTGTGGTGAATGCACGTATAGTTCCAGTCAAAATTTCAGTACTGTGGCGAGTAGATATTTTTTTACGTATATATATTTCATTGTAATTTATATAAGGCTATATGTGATTTGTTGATAAGTGGCATCCACTAATAAAAAATATCAGTAAGATACTTAATTCCGAATTATAATCTCAAATTTGTATTCCATTCATCAATACCGTGTCGTCAGTTCCATGTTCGATGTTTCGGTTATCTTTTTTTCGCAAACTTCAATTTAAATTCTGCTTGCGCAGAACTTGTTTATTTAATGTCATTATAAACTCATATAAATTTAGTGTGGGTCCCATATATGGGATATATATCTAATATATCTAATAATTGAGATATCGGTATACCCAAAATCCACCAGCCGCCACGGATGTGTGGTATTATTTGATTTTAAGATATTTAATGTATAATATGCTCAAAGTTGCAATAAATCTTATATTTTCCAATAAATTATGTATTCAATTAGTACCCTGGTATACTCGTCACTTCCCTTGCATTCAAATTTAGAAAACACAGATCCTGTTAGATCCTGTTAGAGTATATTTATATTATTATTTATGTTATACAAAATACTGTTTACTATATAAACAAAATTGTAGAATCACCCATATCTTCAAAATGCCATAACGCGACATTCTATTGGTACTCATATGACCTTTGTGAACCATGTCAACGTCTTTCGAGGTGTCATCAAGGGAAAACAATGAAATCGTTAATCTTTATTTTCTAACTGTGTTTGCTATTTTGAAGGTTGTGTGGACGAGCTGAAATCAAGAGCTCTATCCCCCCGCGTCTGTGATGGTACCATAGACTGTCAAGACTTATCGGATGAAAAACCCTGCACCTACTGCTCCAAAAATCACATGCACTGCGGAATTGGTAGAACCTGTATTTCAAAGACAAAAAGATGTGATGGAAGTGTGGACTGTCCCGATGGTAGCGATGAAAGGGCCTGCTGTAAGTATTTTTTATATATCGTGGAAAAACGTTCAAAAAAAAATTTTTAGTATCTCTTACTCCATCTGTGGAAGAACTTAAAAAAGTTGACACCGTCACTCCACATGTAGCAAAATATTATTCGGAAGGATTTGTGACGTTTAACGAAAAAGGGGAAGTGGGAAAATTGTGTACAGAGAACTTAAACAACAGTCTACCTGCAAATCACACCACGGAAGTTTTGCATACTGTCGCATCTTCTTTGTGCAAAACATTAACATATAAGTAAGTTAAACATTAATTAACTAACAAACGTAAAGAAATTATTTTGTTTTTTTTAGAAACGTCATAGCAGTTCGTGTGGAGAAAGATTTCGAACTAAACGTTCCATATGTAAGCATGAAAGATCCAACAGCTTTAGAGATCAGCTTCATCCGATCACCATGTCTTTCCAAGCAAGTACTTAAAGTGGCTTGCTCCAACCTGGGTAAAATAATTTTTAAATAGTATTTAATTCAATACAAATTAACCTATTTTTTAGAATGTGGGGTTCAAGCAACCCACGGTCCAACAGGCTACAAGACCCTACCGAAAATGTCAATGCACGGCGATTGGCCATGGCACGTGTCACTAATGAAAGAAGACGTCCATATTTGCGATGGTACGTTGGTTTCTGACGAATGGGTTGCCACAACAACATCATGTTTCCAAGGACAACCAAAGGCCGAGTGGACTGCCAGATTTGGCATCATTAGACTTTCGAGTTCTTCGCCGTGGGAGCAAGAGAGGAGGATTGTTGGAATGGTGAAAAGTCCAGTAGAAGGTAAAAACTGAATTATAAAGTTTTACTAAACTGAAATATTCTCTTTTTTAGGAAGTACCGTTGCTTTGGTAAAGTTAGACCAGCCCATTACGTACAATGACTTTGTGAGACCAATTTGTCTTCCAAAACATAATATGGCATTGGTACCAGATCTAGAATGTAATACTTTGGGCTGGGCTAGAAATAGAGAACAACTACAGAGAGTTCAAGTTAAAATAACAACCATGGAAAAATGCGAAAATATCAGTATTTCCAATACAAATGGTCTTTGTACTGACACATTGCATGGGCAAAATGACTGTGGAGTAAGAATACATTTTAGATTAAATTTTTGGAAACAAAACTGTATTTTTGTATTTTTTAGGAGGAAGAATTTGCAGGAAGTCCTCTAGTTTGCAGGATTAAAAATCAGGAAAGCTGGACGTTTGTAGGAGTGACGAATTGGAGAATAGCTTGTTCCAAAAATGGAATGGAAAGACCAAGAATGTACGATAAAATAGGTTCAAATGTTAACTGGATTTTGGACACTATTAGCTCTAAGGAATGAAAAAAAAACCTTTTCAAAGAGGCTATGCCAAAAGAACTTAAGTGAATGTGATATTCCTACTCATTAAAAAGAATAATACCTATAGGTATAAGAAGAATTAGAGTAATAAAAAGAATGAACTTTGTTTTGTAAATAGTGCCAATGTGATTATTTTTTTTTTGTAAAAAATTGTTGAACATTGATACCAGCTGAATTAATTTACATTTGTACCTAATATACTTATATGTTATTGTTAAATATTTAAATTATTGTTTATTTAACTCGTAAGTTGTAACTATATTATTTTTAATAAAATTTTATGGTCAATATAATTTTTTGGATTTAGACCTATTCTGCAGACTGCAAAGTTATAGTATATAGTAATAATACTGCTTATTATTTAAACTTTAAATAAGTTATTTTCATTACATACTCAAAAAATTATAAATAGGTACATTTGTTAGTCGGTTACAACCTCACTTTCTCCAGTTCCAACCTTACTTTCTCCTAATTTAAAACCTGATTGGTTCAAATCACAGTTAATAATGAAATCGGCCAATCAATAATGCCTAACAACGGGAATAATGAATGCATTATTCCCGTTGTTAGACGGGGTGGTTATAATGGGTACCATTACATACGGAAAACTCCAAATAATGTCAATAGTATGCAATATATAAAAGTAGAAAAATGATAATAAAAAAATATATACTTTACAATTAATAAAGTAGTTATAGGGGTCGTCCATAAAGGACGTCACGCCCTATATATATATTATATATATATATATATAGATTTAACTATTACAGGTAAAATTACAGGTAAATTTTCCAAAAAGAACAAGCCAATATTTTAGATACTAAAAGCTCAATTTTCAACATTGTGTCGGAATGATTTCTGCCCTCTCCCATTTCTATTGAACAAACAGAATATGGATTAAAACTTCCTTCACCGAAGAAATTAGAGGCCAGTTTAAATACTAAATTCCCATCGCTGTTTATTTCAAAAAGTCTCAATCTACAAAAAATCTGCTGAGCCCTCTGTTACTCCTTATGATTCATTTTGTTCATTAGTAGAGAGTAGAGACTAGAGACAGATTTAGAAGCCAGAATTTGTAAAACATGCCACCTCTACTTTGCTTCAAAAGTAATGCTTCAAAAACAACGAGTTTTACAAGAGGCAAAATCGAAGTATGAAAAAATAAAAAATTAAAAAATAAAGTAGCAGCAAATCGGCAACAAGAAATGATGGCGATTTTGATAGGCGATCAAGTAGACTCGAAGAAGATAATCTGGATTTGACTGGAATAATTCTCCCATCTGAAAAGAAAGAAGACAAAGAAAAATCCGATTTTATGCCAATTCATTCTGCTGTTAAATGTTTTGAAAATCCTTTGGAGAAAATAGATTTGGTTTTCTTGTAATTTTTTTATTCAGAATTTACTTGTTCAAAAGTAAAAATTAATGTGACTATATTAGGTACAGTGTTCCAAATTTAGAGTCCAGTGGCTAATATATATTTATATTTTAGGTAGGTATCTTTCATATTTTAAAAATAAAAAAATGTTAAAAAAAATTGTTTAGCACAACTACCTTAAATTTTTATTATTATTCAATTATTAGTTTTTTGAATTTGTGACGTGACATGGGGGGGTGGGGGTTCGCGCTGCTGTGACCATTTGTGACAATTGTCACAGGGGAGGGGGGTCAAAAATTTCCTAAAAAAGCGTGACGTCCTTTATGGACGACCCCTTACTGGTTAAAGAAATAAAACAAATACAAAATATAACTATATAATAATACAATCAATGAAACACAAATGAAAAATTACAAAATTTTTAATATTAGATTCAAAATAATTTTACCATTCTTTAATTGTTGAAAACGGGCATTTTAAAAATAAAAATCAAAAAGTTTTTCCCATACCGGGAATCGAACCCGAGCCTCCTGGGTGAGAGCCAGGTATCCTAGCCACTAGACCATATGGGAGATGAAGAATTATTACACCCAAGCAATTGCGTAGCTATATTATTAAGGCATATAGTCATTTAAAATAACTATTTTCAGATATGCCTTAATAATATAATAAAATAACTTATTTTACCTATAACTTAAAATGTGAAGAGAAAATTTTGTAAAGGATGTAGGTAAAAGTATTTAGTAGTAGCTACAAACTTTGTAGTACAAAGGTAGGTAGCAACGAATGTAAAAACTGTTGTTTTGACACTTTCGAAAAAGTTCATCAAAATTTAGGAAGAGAAAATCATTTTTAATTAGGTACCTAAGTATTGAAATTATTATTGCACACCTATATTATTAATTTTTTAAAATAATACAAGATTTTTTATGTGTAAAGATCTAAATTTATAAGATGAAAAATAGATGTTAGCTATTATAATAGGTATACCCATATTATTTTCAGAAAATATAATTTGCATCGTTAAACTAAGATAAGAACCTTAGTTATTTGACTGCCTTCCTTTTTCAAATGTCAAAGTGGGACTTTTTGATGTAAAACATTTTATTATCTGCAGAAAGATTTTTACCACCCGTCTACGGCTCGTATTGCAAAATTAAGTGGCGTGCGGTAAACGCCATTTTCTGTTTAAGTAACTCCCATATGGTCTAGTGGCTAGGATACCTGGCTTTCACCCAGGAGGCTCGGGTTCGATTCCCGGTATGGGAATAACCTTTTTAATATTATAAGTCAGTTTTTATACTTTTGATTTGATTCTTAAATTAATTAAATAGGTATATTATTATGTTATTGTAACTAACTTTATTTAAAATACTAAAATTTTTCGATTTATTTACTAGAATTATACATAATTTAGTTTTTTTTTTAATTAAATATTACATACTGATAATTTACCGTAATATACATAATTTGTTTAAGGCTGTGGTGTAGTTATTTCTTTATTTACATAGGTACTGTCCTATTACATAATATTATATACAGTGTTGGACATAATTTTTGCAACCACTGTAAAAAAAATCTAACTCTAAAACGCCCAACTTATATCTCAGTTTACGTGTTCGAGGGTTTTTAGAGAAAATATTTTTAAAGCCCTTTTATTTAATAATGAAAAAACGTTAAAAAAAACTTTTGGGGAATATTTTTTAAGTAAAAAAAATATGCTGTTCAATATCGTATTTTTGAAAATTTTATACAAATCAAATGAACAGCAACGAAGATACAGCGATTCAAAGTCGTCAAAAATGACTACTTTTCAGCAAAATAATCAAAAAGGGGCCATTTTTACCGACTTTGAAGCGCTGTTACTGTTCGTTTAATTTGTACAAAATTTTTAGGGTATACTAACAAAAATACGGCCTTTCACAGCATATTTTTTATTTACTTAGAAAAAAATACCCTAAAAGTTATTTTTCGAACGTTTTTTCATTATTAAATAGAAGGGATTTAAAATTATTTTCTCGAATAACCCTCGAACACGTAAACTGAGATATAAGTTGAAGTATTTTTATCCAAAATTTTATAAAGAATAATAAAGGCGTTTTAGAGTTAGATATTTTTATAATGGTTCCAAAAATTATGGCCAACACAGTTTATAAATATAGATATTTTATCACAGTCGATTACGTAACAAAAATATTACATAATAATTATAGGGTAGTGTCTTACTTCTGAAGCCTCCGTATCAGGATTGTCGAAGTGGATACCGCAGCTGAGTAGCTACACTTATTTATAGGCCTTTGCAGTCCAGATCACTCAGTCCCAGCCTTTTCAGTAACTTCAGTAATATATTTGTTATACACAGAGAAAAGTAATCTCTTGATTTAAGAAAATGCATTTATTTGAAACAGTTTTTCTTGTATGAAGTAAAATTGTCTTATTCGTAGTAACTTCTTGTTTACAATAAGAAAATACTATTATTTGGTTGTAAATCATGAGTTTCTTGAAAACAACTTGTTGTTATGATTAATTGTAAAGAAATATTTATTTAGAGCAATTAATTAAATTGTTTGGATATAGGTTGTATGGATTCAGTTTTATCAAATGTTAATACAAGCATATAATATCTTATTTTAACAAAATAATAGAATTGATACAATGTATGTCATATAATTAACGTAAACAAGTGATTTGTTTGTTTCAAAAATACATTTACTTAAAGCAAATACATATTTATTTGCTTTTATGTCCACGTGACTCGCGGAGCCAATTAGAGCATTTGACTCCAAAGACAAAGACGCTTGTCCGGCAGCCGGCAGCCGGCAGCATTTGCAAACAAACTCGCAGAGCGTCCTTGGCAAAGCGTTAAGACTCTTAACCCTAGATAGCTAACCTACGTAAAATTTACGTAAAGTTTTTTTTTAATCTGAAATAATTTACCTAATATTGGCATCCTCGTTTCGCCGCTCAAGCAGTGCTTTCCCTTCCATCACTACTTTTGGCAGCCGACGTGTTTTTGATGTGGCAGGTGTGGGTTGTCAGTGACTGAATATAGAGTGATAGTCCACGCGTAAATTTTACGTATAGTTGGCAAATTCGTATGGTTGTTATACGTATATTTCACGTATATTATACGTATATTTTACGTAATCTTGGCAATAAAGTAAGTCGTATGGTTTGAAACAATTTTTGCACATATTTGTAATATATACGGTAAAATTTACGTATTGTTGGCATCAAAGTATAAATTTTGAACGTTGGCTATCTAGGGTTAATATACTTAAGAGAAGGAGGTGTTTAATCAACGGTTATAGTTTTGTGTTTAAGTGCTTATGTTTAATAGTATGGAAGAATTCTTCAAAGAAAATAATTTAACCCATTTGCTTTTTAGTTTGGTTGGTAAGTAAAAGTGATTTAGTTAATTAAAATTTTGTGTACCTAGGAAACTACAAAGTTATATGATAATATGGGTACCTATAGGTACCTATAGGTATAGGTACCTATAGGTATAGGTACCTATAGGTATACCTATTTTATTTTGGATCATGCATGTAACAGACTTGACTTGTTGCTTTTAAATATAATTGCACATTTTACTTAAAGGCCATAAACTAAAAATAAACCGTTTCTTTTTGTATTTGACAAGTGCAAGTAATTTTGGTTGGCAAACTATATGTATTTGTTTTTAAACTATAGGTACCTACCTAGGAAGGTGTTTTCAACAAAGATACCTATCTGATAATAATAAATTAAGTTTTTGAAAATGTTTAAATGTCCCATAAATATATT